TTGATTTTAATGGGGCCATGCACCAAATGGAAGAAAAAACATGGCCTGAAGAAAAATTATGTTGATTGAAAATTGAAATGTGCTTTTTGGTCAACATGGTAATTAATCAAAAAAGAAAAGGTAATGAGTGATAAAAAAAGAAAAAAAAAAGAAAAAAAACAACTTTCATTAAAATGGTAAAAAGCAGAGTTCAAGCTTTTACTTTGAGGGGGAATATTGTCATATCTGATGGCATATAATGAACTTAGATATTTAAAATGTTATACTCACTCTTCCTCTCCATATATATTTTTTTATATATATTTCAATGATTACATTATATTTGGTAATCATTATGTTAATAAAATTATTTTTTTCCCATGTATCATATTATAGTGAAATCTGCATATTGTATACTCATGTTCACAATCCTTAAATTGTATGTTACAAAAGGCAAAAGTTTTCAAATGCATAAAAAAGTTTTCAAATACATTAAACATTATTTTAAAAAGTTTCAAAAGCCTCAAACATTGGATAAAAACACTACTTCTGTACTTCAATAACATTTTCCCTCTCCTATTTACCTAATTCCTTGTCAACTACAAAGACCAAATTTTAACTATTTTCTATGTCACAAAAAAAAAGAAAAAAAAAAGATATCAGTTAGTTTTCCTATCCAATCAAAATAGATCATTTTAGAGTTTAAACATACAGCTATAATCTCTGTAAAAAATAAAAATAAAATAAAAAGTAAAAACACATATTTTATGAAGAAAATATCATACTTTTCAATTAATGCAAACAATAAAAATGCAAAAGTAGGATTCCAAATGAATTGAGCGGCTCGTCAGCCACTCCCAAGCGCTAGAGTCGAGTGAGCACCTCAAACTCGATGAGGAGTTGGATTCGAGTCTCTATGTTATAGGCTTCAATATGCTTGATGAAACGTTCGAATATAACTATAATTTACTTAAATAGACTTAAATCAAGTTAAATTCGAGCCAACTTACGAAAAATGCATAATTTAACATAATTTTTGTTCTCTTAAAATTCAAGTCAAACTCGATGCTGAAATTCAACTCGAGAATTTGTATATTTTTGTCAAATCAAGTTGAAGCTTGAAAAGTTGAGCTTGTCGAGCTCGTCCTGCATTGAAAAAATTAAAACCTAACTCGACAGGGTCATTGATGAATTCGACTTACTTAACTCGACTCGACTTAACTCGATTGTCTCGACTCGACTTGACTAATTTGCAAGTTAATTAAGAGTATGACCAATTTCACCTCAAAATTATATTATTTTACATACTTAATTTTGTCCACACAATACATGTCATATCCAATCATCAATACCAAACACCACACCCCCAATATTCCTTCCTTTTCAAGTCCCACTCAACATTTCTTGATAAAGAAAAGCAAAAGCAAATATAGCATTACACTATTTTTCAACCATGGTGGGGGGGCCCACATGCTAAAACCCCTCCATGACATTTTAATTTTTTTACTAACATCATGATGCTAACTAAAACCCCACTAGGGTTTATCACGTAGTCTTCATTAATCCCGGGAAAAAAAAGAGAGAAAAATATGATAATTAAGGTGGGCTTTTTCACTTGTATTCGTGTCGGACACGTGTCTCTCCCTGCACCGTCGGATTGGCGCAAATTGTCTGTTTCGGCGGTGGATAAGATACGGACTGCCGGTGGATGTCGGTGGTTCTGGCGGCCAGGCGGCGACCGCAACTTCTTATCGTGTTGTTGGGCCACACGGTGGTTGGGCTCGCGTGCGCGCGCTTATATTTCTTATGTTTCCCAAAATAAATAAATAAATAAATAACAAAGAGGAAGAAAAAAAAAAATGAAAATATAATATAACTTGATTCACGTGCCTAAAAAAATACCATGTGTCAAGTGTTGTTGTAATTGAACAGAGCCGAGTTGGAGCGTTTTGAGCTCGTGTTCAATTATCTTCGAATATTATTTGTATTTGGTTGCTTATTTTTCAAGCAAAAAATAGTGTTTGAGTTCGTTCTTTTAATTGTTCGTATTTGAATAATTTAGTAAATAGAATATTTACGATTATTATTTGATTAACCTACGATGTCTCAGCTCGAAAATAATAAAAAAATATATATTTTAGATTTTTTTATTAAAATATCATACATATAAATATATATATATATATGTAATAAAAGTTATATATTAAATTAATGTTCGAAAATAATTATGATCAATGAAGGACCTAACAGTTGGGCGAATCAATTTTTCTCAGTCATACTATTTTCACTTAAATGAACATTAATGATATAAAATGTCAGAGTTTGGTATATATTATTTTCAAAGTGTGATATTTCAACTTAAAATTATACATATTTATTAGAAAAGTATACTTGCCTAACATTAGCTTTATCTAACACCCTAGTATGAAATTGTGGAACACACGGGCTCAAAATGGCCCATTTTTAGCCATGGCTCATCGAAAGAACACAAAATCTTTAACCACGTTATCAATTTCATGAATCAATACTGATATTGGGTGCTAGCAACATTTATTTGAGATTGTCATAGACTTACTATAGTGTGAAATTGAGGAACACCCGGGCTCGAAATGGCCCGTTTTAGCCACGACTCATCGAAAGAACACAAAATCTTGAACCATGGTATCATTTTCATAAATTAATATGCCAATATTGGGTGCTAGCTGAAAGATATACTATTTTGACATGAGTTCGAAAAGAATTTCCTGCATGCATTAAATCCGTAAATAAGGGAATTTTTATGTAGTTCATATTTCCTAAATTAGTTTATATTATGTAAAAGGAATATTTGATCTTATTATGTGTTTATATTCTGTAGGAAATCGGTTCATAGGGGAAGAGAGCCTCACGCAAGTAGGAGATTGCAAAGAATAAGGAGGAGATTGGATAACTAAGGAAAGTGGATATTTGGAGAGAGAATAAGAGTCCTATACTTGGTAAGACATCTTGGATATACTAAAAAAGGAACCAAGGGCCTTTGGGACACTTGACGAAAAAGAAATCATATATAAACCTACCTTGAAGATTGAAGAGTGCTTGCTGAAGCTATTGTTATTATTCATCACCTTCAGCTTCAAGTTTCGTGCTTACATTTTTGTTTTGTGTTCAGTTCTGATTTAGACATTTTAGTGTTTTACACTTATGGAGTAAGTGTGAAAAATAAGTTCACGGGATGTGGCCAGAGAAGTAGTTGATAGGCTAGATCATAGTTGTGGTTAGAATAGAAGGGAATTCTATTTTGTAAATCCAAACTATGCTTTTGTCCAAGTTTATTTTGAGACTCACAAACTTAGTATAGTATGAAATTGAGGAACACATGGGCTCAAAATGGCATATTCTTAGCCATGACTCATCGAAAGAACACAAAATTTTTAACCGCGTTATCAATTTGATAAATCCATTTGCAAATATTAGATGCTAGCAATATTTATTACACTACGAGGGAGTCTCAATGTATAGCATAAATTCTTGTATAGAGTAGCATGTAGATAAATTTATTATATTTTTGTAAAAAAAAGAGTGACATTTCAATTGAAGGTATGCACGTTAAAAAAAAAAAAAATGATTGTATGAACCATTCTATGTACATAACAATAGTCATATGTGTGATTCCATTTGCTAGTGAGGTATTTTTGAAATTCTAATGCGAGCTAAGTGCCCTTTAACCTATTGACAACGCAATATAAACTTTTATTGAGTGACACCCAAATTTCTATTGCTTGATGGGAATAAAATAGATAATAATTAATAACAAAAAATATTACTTGGGAGAGACGTGCTAACATGGCAAAGACTTGGACATGATGGGTGGAATGGAATTGTAATAACAACATGATTATCATGATGTCTATTATTAGTCATTAGCGATATACAATCCTTTGCTATAAAAAGATCTCATTTGTTACCAACTGAGAGCAGTATTCGTATGGCTCGTAGTTAAATATTTAAAAGATCTGGAAATAAAGAGCTAGCGGTATATTTAAGAAAAAAAAAAATGGATATAAAGTACCGAATAGTGAATATATGAGTGATATATTTCAAAAAATGGAATAAGTATAGAAAAATTGCGGTGAGCGTGGATCGAACACGCGACCTTCAGATCTTCAGTCTGACGCTCTCCCAACTGAGCTATCCCCGCTTGTTATTGGAAGTGGATACAATTAGAAAATTATCTAATATTTAATATATGGGCTTTATATATTACTTTGGACTTGGGCCTAGTTTCAGCATTCAAATAATCAAATTTCAACCTAGCTTCATATATAGTGGGCTCTAGGGTATAGATTAGACCTTGTGCGATGATGAAATGTGATCATCGCCTTCACCACTCGTATAGAATTGATCTATTTTCTATGTCAACTTTTTTCTACACCAATATTAAGATGTTTTAATATATATGTAACTGGAAATTTCATTTATACTTTTTGAGTTCACAATCTTACTAATTTTACTTGAATCTCCTGATTATAAAATTTTTGGATTTCTTTTCATTATACTGTATATTTGTATATATCATACACTAAATTATGGATAAATTTAATATAGTACCATAAACAATCTCCTTCCTAAAGACAAAATAAACAATAAGTAAATCCCTCACATCATCATACAACCTATCAACTTCACCACTAAAGTCTATACAGAACATTTGCATGTATTGTAACATCATATGAACACTACAATATAATGCCAACATTTCTTGATCTTTTTTCCTAAACAAAAATTAAAGCTTAAAAAGTCCCCTAACACAACATCAATTCATACAAAAAGCCTTGAAACATACAAGTCCCATTTTGGAATCATCACATTTTAAAACACCCACAAGAAGCCGAGTCAAGTTCCGTTTTCTCTTGCCCTCGGCCGAATTTTGGACTGGAAATGGAACCTCTTGTTGACCTTGGTGAGGGCGAAGTTGAAGAAGAAGTTGATCCCGTTTCTAGCTCGGTTATCTCTTTCCCTTCGCATATGATCTTAACCTCACAATACTCCGGTGCACCCTGTCGTATCTGATCGGCCACCCCATTGCCTTTCCTTGACCTCATCATCCTCCTAAGAAGAATCGATCCAAAATTCACCAAGTCAATCGACAAAAGGTGTTGTTAGTCGACACAAATGGGTTCATTTTGTATTTGTAAAATGTGTTCACTTGTAAACTAAAGCCGATTGAAATCAGTATCAATTTCAATTTGAAAGTTTGCTAAATCTGTTCAAAAAGTATGGTTGTGTTAGGTGTGACTAACTGTAGTCTTACTATATATATATGTATAGGGCAAATGTTTGTAAGGTAAATTGAAATCAATATCAGTTCAGTTTGAAAGTATACATATCTGTTCAAAATTAAGTATAAGTATGGTTCTCTAACCGTTAGGCCTAGCTAACTGTAGTTTTATTGTATAGATGTATATATGGCATGTTTCTACACTAGAAATTGCTCTTTGACATGTGCACTTTGATAAGGGAGCATAACTTGTATGACAATTACAAACTTCTCAAATGGGGTATTTGTAAATTTCAAAAACATTTCAAGAGGTAAATTTTGGTGAATTTGAATATTGTACCTTACAGTTGACTTGGTGGCACCAAGAATAAGCCTTCTGATGTTGAGAATGGGAATGAGGTCTAGTATGGCTTTTGCCTCCATCTCACTCTCTATTAGTATGGTGTCCACATTAACCTTCACATTTTCAGTTCATTAAGAGGGCATATAATTAGCCTGTCATTTTATTTTATTTTATTGTTTTTGAATTCTCCCCAAATTATTGGGGCTAAAAAACTATTTAAGAGCTAATTGAGAATTTGTAGGTTATGTAGCTACCTTAGAAGCAGAACAGACATTGAGGAATTTATCAAGAAATTCTCTTCTCTTGCCTCTTTCTTTGGCCAAATACAGCTCTCTCTGCTCTTTGTTCACTTGGCTAATTGGTAAATTTCCCACTACCATGAAAAAATGAAGTTGATAACAGTTCAATAATTAATTTTAAATAATAAAAGGGGAAACTTCAATACTGAGACGGTCTATTTTTTGCTTAAAAAATGCTTAATTATCTTATTTAACATCATAGTGTTTATATATATTGTTGTTAAGTAGTCTGCCTAATGAATTAAAATCGATTAGGCGAATTATTATGACTCAAAACTATCTGTTTTAAAGAACTTATATACTATACAACGACATAATTATTTTTGAATAGCTTTTTTTTTTATATATATATTATTGTTTAAGAGTATGACAATAATTATGTTACTTTATGGACAAAAATATTTGATCATCCAAACTTTTGACAATTTTTGGGCAAAAAGTAAAAACTGTCATTTTGTCCCTTTTTATCCTATTTTCGTCAATTCCAAGTTATTTTACAGATGGAACGTAGTGACATACTAGCATTTTAAATTAAGTTAACGTTGAAATTGAGCACATAGAACCTGAAATAATCTCAAAAGTGTGATTTGTGAAAGACAAAAGCGAAACGGAAAACGACAAATGAAATTACGAGTGTGTGAGTGTGTGAGAGAGAAAGAGGTTCACTCACATGGCGTGGGTACAAACTTGGCCTCCGGAAAAACGTGAACGAGGAAAACAACCGACGACGGACCAAACGCCTCATTTTTAATCGCCCAGATCACGGCGCCCATGCTTGCCTCCTCGTCGCCGCCGCCTCCGTGCCGCCCGACCGCCACGTACACGGCGTCCTCCCCTCCCGCCCCGAAATCGATCGACGCCGCAGACGGCCTCTCCTCCTCCGCCGCCTCCCTAATCGCCGGAAGGGGGATCTTCAGTTCGCCGCGTTTCGATACCAACACCCGATCGACCGCCGGAGACGCCGCCGGCTCCTCCTCGATCTCGCTGGTGCCGCCGCCGGTGAAATTCTCCCACTGATCTTCGTAGTAAGCCCTCAGCTGCCGCAAATCGCCGGAGTTCTCGATGGATGAGCCGATTATGAGATTAGACGGCATTTTTTAGATTTGAAGTGATTGTGAATATTTTCTGAGAGGTTTTTTTGGAAAGTGAAGTTGAAATGGAAAGGGAGGTTCTATAAATCGTGTGTAGGACCGCAAGGTGTAGCGATTTTATCCCGCGTTGACTATATGCAAAAGTGCACACGATTTATTCAATAGTTAAGTATTTTAAAAAATAATATTAATAAAAGTATGATATTTTATAGTATATAAATATTTTATTGTTGTAATGTGATCACTTAATTGTAAAAAGTTATGCAATAAATTTTGTATTATCAAATCATCGCATTAAAAGGATATAAGAATTATGCATATGCACATATATTTTTTTTTTCAGTAGATATACATAATTTTAAATTGAAATTTCACTCTTGAAATTAACAAAAACAAAACCATAACATCGCAATACGGTTATTTATTTTTTTATTAAAAAATTATGACTGCTCGACTAATGTAACGATCAGACTTACTCATATAAAACGTGTGTTTTTAGATATTTTGTGTAGAAAGAAAAATTATCATCTAATATTACTCTTTCCTTCATAATCTCCATAAACATAATTATAAAGTATTGAAATAAAACTCCATTATTAGTATATTTTACAAAAATGATGATTACTAATTCATATATTTTAACAAGTAATAATTATTAACTAATAATCACCTAGGTATTTTTCTTGTTTTGTTACAAATTTTGTATGGTAAGGATCGATACATTTTGAATATGCATATTTTTGTACAAATTTAGAAAGTAAAGTATAAATTAATAAAAAAATGTGTAAGATACAATTGCATTTTGTTTTGTTCTAGAATAGTGATTGAATATAGATTTGAATGGTTTTTAATTAGTTGATTTTGTTAACCATAGTTAATTTTAAAAAATAAAGTATAGTTAGTTGTTAGTGAGAATTTAAGTTTAAATTAAAATAATATTTAAAATAAAATAATTAAAGTTAATTTGATGTAAAGTAAGAGAAAAATGATTGATAATGAGGTTGCGTTAAAGTTGAGTTAAATTTGAGTTTTCATTGGTTTTTTACTAGTCCAGTTTATATCTAATCATTGCCTTAGTATCTTAATACGATAGTTGTGTTAAGCATAATATTGTACGTAAAATTAGTTTTATACTCGGTTCTACTTTCCATTTTTTAAATAAATATTCTAGAGAATTTCTAAAACAATATTTTTTTAGTAAATAAAATAATAATTCTAAATTATAAATGAGTTAAAATGTGAGAAAAAATGAATTTAAGTATCTCAAAGTTAGCATGACTCGAGAGCGTCTCAAATGAGTGATTAAGAGAACGCTTTGCCAACTGAGTGCTAACTTGGACTCAGCTTGCAAGGATGCGTGGAGTACCAATGAGTTTTGGCGACTTAGTTCACTTCAGGTGTGTCAGTTGTATTCATGTTCATTTGAAAATTTATCTTTTTATTCATTCAATTCGTGTGATATAATATTCATTCAATTCGTGTGATATATGCTGATCATATCTATAAGTACCCTCATACTTGAACATTCATTTGACGCAAAGTAAATGAGAGAAAATTAAAGTGTTTAGACATATATACGTTATCGACATCATAGCATTTTGTATTCATCGTTTTTGTTCTTTTCTTGAAAGTTGTATTCATCATAGCATTTT